AAAGGAGATTAACATTTGAGTCACTGGGCTGCGTGCGGAAGGCAGATCCGCCCTTAATCTGGTGGGCACAAGCTAATCAGCTTCCGGCGAATATAAAGCAGGCAGAACAATGGGAAAATGAGAGGCAGGTCTACCCCCCAGCCTACATCTTTCTCCCATGCTGGATGCTTCCTGCCCTGGGATATCAGACTCCAAGTTGTTCAGTTTGGGGAGTTGGACTTGTTCTCCTTGCCCCTCAGCTTGCAGACAGCCTATTGTAGGACCTTGTGATCATGTAAGTTAATACTTAAATAAACTCCCCTTTATACACACACACACACACACACACACACACACACACACACACCCTCATTGGTTCTGTCCCTCAACAGAACCCTGATTAACATAGTGAGTAAGGAAGGGTAAGTCAATCGTTGTTAAGTCTCTGGTTATAAACACTCCTAAAGATGTACTGGTAGAGAGTCCTTTATGTGCCCTTTATTTTTAACAAAGTATTTATTCTCTTTTCTGTTTTTTTTAAATTTATGTTAAAGTTTGGTTCACTTTTAATAGTACATGACATCTCAAATGTTTAGACATTTCGTTGATTGTAAAACACTAGCTAAAATGAATCTTCTCTTGAAACAGTATTGCCAGATTTTTTTAATGAATAGAAATTATATTCTTTTTCTGTTTTTAAAACCATCATTTTCACATTCTGAGTTTCTGGAAATTGAGGTGCACTTGCATATAGAAACCTTTGCACTTAATTTCATTTCTAGTTCACTTTCTATACTTGTCTCTTCTCATTATAGCAATTACCCTTAAAATCTAATTTCCTTGGCTTTATTCAGTCCTATTGAAACAGGCACTGCATTTTAAGAGAATTATTTCCCCAGCAATGTTCTTTTTTTTTCAGTCTTAGAACTATGGCAGCGAGGAAGTTGAAGCTGCCATTCAACTTCCTGAATTACATGAGATGCGGAAAGGACTCTGATGAAGACAAATCCTCTATCATGGGTCTTTCAAGGCCGCTTTGAAGTGTGCCTTTCTACACTGAATAGTAGAGGGTGGAATTTTAGCCACTATAGGCCAAGTACAGGTAGCGTATAATGGGCCACACATATTGAAATACAGCTTAACTCTGAATCTACACATCATGGGCTCTGAAAGGTTTAGAATACATGTTGGTTTAAAAAATATGCAGATTTTGTCTCAAAGTCAAATTAGCTATGCTTTTCCTCCTCTTTTATTAAGGGAACAAAAGTAATACTATTTCTTATGTAAAAAAGAAAAAAAGACTTAAAATGTTGACCATAGCGGATGCTGTGGTGTGCTGCCTGGACCTTTTCCATTGTTGGGAGTGTTGGTGGCTGACAGTTCTCATTCATTTAGTTGCTTTCAGGGGTCAGCCATAGGGAACCAAGTATACCAAGGAAAAATCTCCAGTCAAGGTATAAAAGATATAAAAGGCCCATGCCCTTGGCTGAACTCAAGACAACTCTGAAGATCCATCCCATAGCTAGAGCTCACCTTGAGATCCATGGGGACCATGTCTGCACTTTGGTCCAACTCCTCCCTCTGCCCAACACTGATTCCTCCACTCCCTTGCACACGTTGATCCTGAGAGATCTCCCCAGTAACCTTTCTGCATGCAAGCCTTCTTCTCAGAGTTTGTTTCCTGGTAACCCAATCTAAGGCATTCATCTTACCATTTTTTTTCTAAGACTCCCATTATCACAATTATTTTCTGAGTGGCCTATGAAAGTGTCTCAGACCTCAGACACATCCAGTTCAGAGCTGAAGCTTCCCTCTACTCTTCACCCCACCCTAAATATTTGATTATAAAGATGGAGATAAAAATTCCCTCATAATTGCAGCAGAACTGTGGTTCAGAGCTTCAAACGTGTATTTGTTGTCATGCATAGGATACAATATGTTGCTAGGCAGGCGATTTTGTCATTGTGTGGACATCATAGAAACAAAGATGGTACAGCCTACTGCACACCTAGGCTATTCGGCAGAGCAGCACCTATTACTGTTAGGCTACAAACTCGTAGTGTGTTTTACCGTACTGAATGCAGCACTGCAGGCAATTGTAATGCAATGGTGAGTATTTACATATAGACATAGAAACATTTCTATATAAATATAGGAAAAGTAGAGTAAAAATACGGTATAAAAAGTAAAAAATGGTACACCTGCATAGGACACGTACCATGAATGGAGCCTAGAGGACTGGAAATTGTTCTGGGTGAGGGGTAAATGAATGTGAAGGGCTAGGGCATTACCGCATGCTACTGCAGACTTTATAAACACTATCAACTTAGGCTACACAACATGTTTAAAGAATAAGTGATCACGCTATTACATTGTAAGAGCTATGACATCACTAGGTGATAGGAATTTTTCAGCTCCATTTTAAGCTCATAAGGTCACTTATGCACGGTCTGTCACTGACTGAAATGTTGTGCAGCACATGACCGTACATGGGTTTTGTTTTCTTCTACAGCATCCGAGTTTCCAGTCGTTAGTTAAGCCTGGTAAATGTCCTCACAAAATTGCCTTGTGAGATATTTATTTTTTACATTAATACTCATTCGATCTGCAAATGACTTCTGTACATGGGATAAGATGAGGGTCAATTTTTAAATTTTCTTCCAGTTGGAGAGCCAGTTGTTCCAGCATCATTAATTTAAAAATAAACAAGCAAACAAACAAAATCTCATATGCTTTTCTTACTTCATGAAACCAACAATCATATTATCCCATACACCGAAATCTATTTTCTCTATTGTGTTGTACTAAATATTCTTCATAGTATTTTCTGACAGCTTCTTCTTATAGAAAAGATTCTTATTTCTTTATATGATTTCTGTGATTATCACTAGGTAATTATTATTTCAAATGAACTTTAAGATTATTTTATACAAGTCCAAAAAACCAAAACCAAAGCCAAAAACAACTCAAAACTCCATTGGCATTCTAATTGGAAATGCATTAAATGTACATATTAATTTTGGGAGGCCTTTAAAAATTGACAATAATAATTGTATATGTTTATGGGTTTTGTGATGTGCCTTTTTGATCAATATGTGATGTTTTGATCAAAACATACATTGTGGATTGATTAATGCAAGCTAATTAACATATGCATCCCTTCACATACCATTTCTTTGCAGTGAGAATATTTAAAATCTACTCTCTTAGTAATTTGGAAGTATATATTACTATTAGCTGTAGACACTATGTTGTGCAAGAGGTCACTAAAGTTCATTCCTTCTGTCTAACTGAAAGTTTGCATTCTTGGACCAACACCTTGGGAGATTAAAAATATATACGGAAAGACTTCCCACCTAAAAACATGTTTGACTCCTCACCGGTTTCTCATCCTTTTTATTAGGACTTACTAGCTGCTTTGTATAGGTTGTGTGTTCGGGTTTCTAAAGTTTAGTCCTACAGCTTATAGTTTTGGTCATGTGAAAATTTTTTTATTTCTAGGTGCTTAGTGCCAGAGAAGGTAAAAGCTACTTATTTTTTATATGTTTATCTTCTATCTAGCTATCTTACAAAGTTTTATTAATACAGTGCATTTTTCCCCCTTGAATCTGTTGGGTTTTCTACATACACAATCAGAGTATTAGCAAATACGTAGTTTTACCTGTTAGTTTCCAGTATTTATAGCAGACATACCTCTTACATTGTTCATTGGCTAAAACCTTTAAAGCAATTCTTTTTAAAAAGAAAATGATAACAGGCATTTCTTTTAATTTCTGATTATGATGTAATTTGTCAACGTTTTCTACTTAGGATATCAAAAGTTGTTGTTTTGATGTAAACAATCTTTATTATGATGAAGGTTTTTTCTTCTAAATTTTTTCCCTTCAACTCATTCTCTAAAACTGGGTGCTGAATTCTATCATGTACTTTTCATGACTACTAATTTGATTTCCTATTTTTTTCTTTAATGTGTGCATAGGATTATACAGGCAGATTTCCTATGTTGTGCCACTGTTGCTTCTGTGTTCATGTATTTCCTTGATAATCTCATAAATTCCTATAGAAATGTTTACCAGAATGTGTCAAATGTTAATAGCGATAACTTAATAGAAGAGTTCCATGATCAAATTAATTTAAGCGGTACCAGACCAAAGTTAAATGGCCCTTCCCCAATACTTTAAAGCTAATGGCATTGTTAATCTTCAAGAGGAGATGAAAGGGTGGGCATAGTGTCTCACGCTTGTAATCCTAGCACTTGGAGGCCGAGGCAGGTGCATCACTTGAGGTCAGGAGTGCCAGACCAGCTTGGACAAGAAGGCGAAACTCCTCCTCTACCACAAATACATGAAATTCCTGGGTGTGGTGGTGTGCCCCTGTCATCCCAGCTACTCCAGTGTCCCAGAATCAGTTGAACCTGGGAGGTGGAGGTTGCAGTGAGCTGAGATCGCACCGCTTTTCTAGCCTAGGTGACAGAGCAAGACTCTATCTCAAAAAAAAAAAAAAAAAAAGGAGAGAGAGAGAGAGATGAAAGTACCTAGTGCTTAGTGAAGTTTATTGTACCATCCATTTCTTATGGGCCATCCCATGGGACTGGATCAGAGCAGAACTTACTTCGGGAATGCATACATGATTTGTACATGTATTATGGTATCTTTGTATTGTAAAAGATTTATGTATCTTTTACAATACAAAGATGTGCAAACATTTTCAGCACATGAACCAATTAGATCATGGAGACAAAAGTCACAAGTATAGGACACCAAAACCATTGTTTGAGGAAGAATAATTTAGTTAAGCAACACTTTGTACCAATTGTACTTACTTTTATTTATGAGATTTTTCCCTTGGGTGAGCCCAAGTTATTAATGTTTGGCATTATACAGACCAGTCTTAGAGCACAGGGTGATTCAGGGGCTGGATGTCATTCTATCTTCCGCCACTGTTGATGTATGACACTAAGAAGTCACACAATTGTGCTTGTACCCATGAGGTCAAGACTGGGGCTTGCACATGGCACTCACCAATGACATATTCCACCCTGAAGAGATCCCGGCTGGGGCCGTATGGACGATTGAAGTCGATCTGCATGTAGAAAGGCTGCCCTCTGCGGACAATCAGCTTGTTGTTGTCATACTTGTCAGTGTGGTGGTCCACCTTGTTGGTATCCCATCTCTCCTTGAACAGGTGAACGTTCGTGACATTAAGAAAGTCTATGAACAAGAAAAACAATTGAAGAAAATAATAAACTAACTTTAGTTTAAACACAAACTCAACAAGACTATTTTTCCTGAAGAAGGCAGATAGCAAGGTCTGCTGAATGAAACTGCACGAGGCAGGGGTAGGGGAACACAGTCTCAAGAGTCAGCCTCTTGTGACATTCTTGTTTTTGAAGAGAGCTTTTTAAAGCTTTTTCCACCTTTGATCTTGTTTCAGTCCACACGGCACTCACTGTGGGATAGACGGACGCCTGTCTGTGAGATCCAGATACAGAGAAGCTAGGGCCAGAGTTGAAGTCACCGGGTTCTCAGTCTCATGCTGGTTTTCGTTATGTTAGGAGCTTCCCATCATGTCCCTGCCTCACTCTGTGACTAACCAGGCAGAAGCAGGGAATAGCCACTTCAATTTTCTTATCTTTCAAAAGGGGGGAATCAAATCTGACAAAGCCTCAGGGGGACGTTCGAAGGACAAAGTTAGCCATTAATCCAAAATTCTCCTCTTACCACAAGAAGGGTCAAACGCCCTCACCCTCTGTAATTCTAAAAGTAGATCTCATCTCTCAAAGGCAGGAGAGAGAGTGAGCAGGTCTGCAGAAACAACACTAACATTTCTGTGAGATAAGTGTGATTGTTTTCAGTTACACAGAAACTATCCTCAGCTTTCTTTAGCTTCTGATGAGCCAATTCAAAAGTCACAACCTGGACTGTCTGATGCCGACATTTACAGGTTTTCCTTTTGATTTCGATGTACAGGTTTTTCAAGAGTGTAAATGTCAATTACACGTTTATTAGTTGTCTGACTTTGTATATGTTACTTAAATTCATTTCTTCATCATAGAATGGGGATGCTAACATTCATTTCAGAGCCTAACATGTTCAGCCTCTTACAGGAATGTGACAGAAGATGGCATGAGATGACATGTACGCAGGCATTTAGCAAAGGGTCTGACACATGAAAGTCAGCTCTCCTCCTGCCCTTTTCCCCTTCCCCTCTATGAATGACCACTGAACGGGAGGGTCATCCTAACTCCCTGTCCTCACTGTACTTCAGAAGATCTAGTCTAGAGACTGGTTTCTGCATGTGCACTTGGTGTTTTAAAGAGCTATTGGGGAGAAGGTTGGGTGGGAGGGTAGGAGGGTGGGCAGGGGTGCCCTGGCCTCTTGCCCTCCCCCTCCCTGCCCCTGCCTGATGCATGATTTGCTATAAGCACCATCTGTGCAGAAAGCACAGCTGCTGAGCTTGTACCCATGGTGGGACATCTCCCTGCCATGCTTGAATGGCTTCCTTTACCTTTACACAGAAATCCTGTGCAAGATGCCTGGTGCCTTTGGACCCCATCGTGTTCCATAATCAAAACCAAGGAGTTGAAAGTCCAGGAGTCCCTGAAACATTGCTGAACAATTCATAGTTCAGGCAATCCTGCGTTTGAATCTCAGGTCTCAAAATTACTTCATTAAGGTACTTTACCTTTCAGAATCTGATTTTTCTCATTCAAAATGAGGATACTAATACCCTGAGAATGTCTACTAGGGCTCAATGAGATAACGATGCAGTGGGTCTGGCACTATGGCTGGCACATAGTGGGTCATAGGCTTACTGTGGCTCACTGCCCCAAGCTGTGACAGACACTTCACATGGCATGGTGCTCCACAGGTTCCTCTGACTACAGCATTCCAGCAAGCAGAAAGTGCGGGATGCAGCCTTATTTTTACCTCATCTCAGAACCCTATAGTAGTACGTGTCCCCCTGAAGGGCACTTTCTTTCGATTATGCTGTGAGGTAAAGATGTTTAATTCTTTAGACCTCTCTATTCCAAGCTGTTTTTCTCCTGAGTTCTCTGGTCTTATTAAGGCCACAATCCCCAGTGATAAATCACCCCAAGAGTGAGCTGGAGAAGCACAAATGTCCCCATGAGAAGGACCTTAGCAATAAACTCCTCTGGTCCTCTTCCTTAGCACAGGGCCTTTCATAATTTTTTTAAGAATAGCTAAAAACCTAGGTCCTTAGAAATGGATTTTATCAGTTCTACATTTACCAGCACCGACGGAAGGAATATAATGATACTACAACCTTACGGAACCTCACATAACAGCAATAGCATTTTCTCAGCTATCTGGTAGAATTATGAAACATTTTCATGAGAGCCCCACCACTTGGTCTTCTAACCTCCATTCGAACAGGGAACTCATTATTTCAGAGGGCAAAGAGTCCATTTTAAACAACTCTACTTATTTGAAAATTTATCTTAAGATAAACTGACATCTGTTTCCTTGTAATTTTTCTAACCAGGGGTCCTCGTTCTGACTTCTGGATAAATATAGAATAAGTCCTCTTATTCATTTTATCTGGCACTCTCTAGGTATTTAAAGATTGTTCTTAGGGCGTTTTTTTTTTTTTCTCAGTAAAACATTCTCCATTTATTTAACTTTTTGTTGTTGTTTTTTAGACAGTCTTGCTCCGTTGCCCAGACTGGAGTGCAGTTGTGAAATCTTGGCTCACTACAACCTCCGCCTTCTGGGTTCAAGCGATTCTTCCTGCCTCAGCCTCCTGAGTAGCTGAGATTGCAGGCATTTGCTATCATGCCTGGCTAATTTTTGTATTATTTTTATTTTATTTTATTTTTTAGTAGAAATGGGGTTTCACCATGTTGGCCAGGCTGGCCTTGAACTCCTGACCTCAGGAGATCTACCTGCCTCAGCCTCCCAAAGTGTGGGGATTACAGGCGTGAGCCATCGCATCTGGCTATTTAACTGTTTTTAAGAAGTTATTTCCGGAACTTTTATCCATCACTCTGTTTTGGAATATATTCCATTTTGTCAATTTCTCTTTTGAAGTGTTATTTTGGAATTAAGTACATTACTCTAGTTGTGGTTTTTCCAGTTTAAAAAAAAACAACATTACATCTTTTAAAATAAATGACATATTTCTAATATTTCAGCTCAAGATATTAGTAGTGTCTTAGATACTCTTAGCTTACTGTTGATTTATATTATGCATCTGATAAAAGCAAAACCCTTAAAACACATTCTTTTTTTTTTTTTTTTTTTTTTGAGCTGGAGTCTCGCTCTGTTACCGAGGCTGGAGTACAGTGGTGCAGTCTTGGCTTACTGCAACCCTGCCACACTCGAATGGCTTCCTCTACCTTCACACAGAAATCCTGTACAGGATGCCTGGTCCCGTTGGACCCCATTGTTCAAGCAGTTCTCCCATCTCCCACCTGAGTTGCTGGGACTCTAGGCTCATGCCACCACAGCAGGCTAATTTTTTTTTCTTTAGTAGATACAGGGTTTCACCATTGGTCAGGCTGGTCTTAAACTTTTGACCTTGGGTAATCCACCTGTCTTGGCCTCCCTTAAGACACATTCTAATGTTATTTCTAGCAACAGTGCATCAAAATTCAGTTGCGGTCCCTACAAGTCACCCACTCATGTTGCTATTTGGCTCTATCTGTGTGATTATTTTCTTCTGTTTAGTTCGATATTAAGACTTTCCATGTATTAAATTTCTTCTTATTGAGTTTGGTTCACGGCTCCATGTTCCTCAGATAATTTTAATCCCTTAGTATGTGTTTAATATATTTAATATTCTCCCTAGCTTCTTGTCCTCTGGGAATGCTTTAAGTGTGCTATTTTATGTTGCCACTTAAGACATGGGTACAAATGTTGATTAGGCAACTGTCTAATAACTACAAGTCAAGTAAACACACAGCTTCAGATGCTAAAAGGTGAACAGATAATTATGACACAGTGTCAGCCATCTCTGACAAAGGAAGTAAAGGGTATTGAGTGGAGTTTCAGGGAGGAGCCCCTAACCCACATTTAGTGGGTGGAAAATAAGGAGGTTCTCTGAAGGAAGTGAGACATAAGCAGTGGTCAAGAGAGGAGTCAGGTGTCCACGTGGAAAAGGAGGTGGAGAGAAATGCTTTGGGCAAGTGAGAAGGATACGTGAAGACTGAGGCAAGAGAGTGCATAGTTGCTTAAGAAATCGAAAGATGATGGTTGGCTGAAATGTACTACTGGGAGGCACGGTAGAAGAGTAAGGAGGAGCCTGCTCATCATGTGGGGCTTGGAGACCATGTGAAGGAGTTTGGGTTTTAATTGCATGGTGGATCCAATGAAAAATCTGAAACAGCAAACTGGCATGATTAGATGTTTATATATACATAAATATTTAAACTGCTTCTGGTGGCAGAGTGGAAGAGGGGTTGGATGAGGCGATGCTGGAAGCTGAAGTCAGTTAGGAAGCTGCTGCAGTGTTCTGGGTGAGGGTCCACGTGAGTTTAATCTGTATGCAGGAGATGAAGGCACTGCTCCTCTGGCACTCCTAGATTTGCCTTCTCTATTTCTACCCTCCTTCCCTGCATGATAAAGTACCCCTGAAATGAGTTCTGACTTGGCTTCCCAAGCAGCTCTACCTATAAGGCAAAATAAAGCTGGAGAGGGAGAAATATTCAAGTATTTCTTTGATACCATTGGTATTTCTCATCCATCCTAGTTGTCATTGCAAATGAAAACCTGGCTTTCCACCTTTACATCCTAGCCTAGCATGCCTGGTTAAAGTCTAATGAGACTGGGTAGAGTCAGTCCATCATGGCGTAGTGCTAGTTTTATGGAAGATTGACAGGTATTGGAAGAAACAGAGCCCCACGGTTAAACAAGTGTGGAAAATTGCTGCCGTAACCAAAGATGATTGGGATTCTTTTCTTAAGAATTCATGTGAGACTTTAATATGCTGATGTGCACCACAGATATCCTAGAGGAGCACTGGTTTCCAAATGTAAATGACTATGGGAACTTTGTTCGTTGGAGATCTGCATTTTTCAGACTATGTTTTGGGAAATGCTTCACTTCAGTTTTCTTAACTTTAATATGAGAATGAGGTACTATCTTACAAGTGGCTGGCACCTAGTATATTCTCAACAAATATTTATTATTATTATTATTGTTACTATTACTATGAGAAGTACATAACATAGTAAGAGTGGACTCCACAT